ACCTAATTAAACGCGAAATTGACAACTATAACTGAAGCATGAGTAAGGGGGCAAGATGAGTACATAAGAAAGGAATCAACAAACACGCATCACATCTCAATACATGATACAATTTCAAGAAAACTTTAATGGTAGATGACTAGCTTGCAAATGAGGTCCGGAGACGGGAGGCTGCCAATTTGGTGAAAATTGACCATGCATGACTAGATAATGAGAAGACAATAATGAGGGCTGAGATTTTAACTCTTCTATATATCTCACTAGCTTTCTACATCAACATCACAGCAGTATTTTATTCGTTAGTAGAAAAAAAGTAAGCAAACAAGTAAATATATGAATTTACTTGTTTGGGCAGTGCCATTGGCAGTGCCAAATTCAAGCTGCTCAAACCCAAAGCTACAGGAAGCAATGGCTTTAAGAGCTGCCACGCTAGTGGCAAAACATCAGGATTGGAGAAGAGTGGAGTTTGAAACAGATTGCAAGCAGGTAATTGATGGGATAAATAGAGAGGAAGATGATGTAACAATTGCAACAGTGATTTCAGGCATTAAAAAACTAAAGTCCAGTTTTGATGAAAATTGATACATTCTACACTGAGTTAAGTTTCTTAAATTTGTTTTGAATGTATCAATTTTCCCATTTTCTTTTTTTTTTTTTTTTTGTCCTGGCTAGAATTTCTTTTTCATTGCATTTTTCCATGGTAGCTTTTCAGTAGCGAAGGATAATTTGAGGTGTCACTTTTTTAATGAGTGATTCTTTTTTCTTCTTATTTATACAATGGTTAGGATTATGGTATTTTTTTTTTATAAAATAAATTATGATTTCTTACGCATTATCTTAACCACGTGTTATAAGATCGAGTATAAGAAAATATGCAGGATTTTGTGAATGTTCTATCCTAGAATTTTCCAAATTAGGTGGGAATTCCTCTAATTGATGTTGCATGGCAATTTTGAGACGCCAGCTGATTATTTACTTAAATATATTTGCTTACATCTCATCATTACAATTTCCAATACACCTTTTTATCTTCCCAATTACCTTTTTATCTCACATACATCACATCACAAAAATTGCTACAGTAAAAATATCACAAATAACTTACAATCCAAACAAACATACGTCACTGCAGCAGCAATCTCTTGATGAACAGTTGGGATATTATTCGGATTTGATCTTCCTTTTTTATTGTGTATCTCTGCAAGAAATTCTTATATATAATTCAAAGATTATTTTCTTGGTTTATAAACAAGAAATAGTTTGCCTACGTCTCCTTCCTCTTGTAAATTTGATTATTAATTCTTCCGTCTTGACTGATCTCATGAGGTCCTTGTAGATGCATATCTGTACCTACTTCATACTTTGTTTTCCCCCATAAACATAAACATGATTGTAGGATGACTAATGAACTTGTGGATAAAACAGCAAGATGCAGTATACTCCAACTACAGGTTCAAATTGACAAAAAGCCGAAAATTTTAGGACTAATTAGCCAAGTGTTCATGAAAAACTTCAACAAGTCCGAAAATTCTAGATTTCTTAGAATAACTTTGTCTTTTTTTTTTTTTTGGCGTAATCATGATATCTACAAACCACCCCCATTTTTGGCGTAATTACATGGCACTTCTAATGGTTCAAAAATATTATTGACCTCCTTTAAAACCATATCTATTATAACAAACTCACCCCCATCATAAAAGTATTCTTAAAATAATAACTTAAAGAGAAAGATGTATTTTTATTCCATCTTTACCCTTTTGTGTTGGCCTATCGTCAATTTTTTACCAAATTGATTTCTAATATATTGTTGCTGGGTAGAACTAAAAATATTGGAAGGGAGCATTAAGTCCAAAGAATTGGTAGAATAGTATTTTTTTTCTATTTTTGAATTTTTCTACTTACGTATAATTGTTATAATAACAAAAGAAACTTAATTAAAAAATTGGTGCATGAAGACCAAAAATGTGGCGAACAGAGACGTTTGCGTGCAACAATTATTAGATTAGCAATTTTTGTTTTATAGATTTAGATTTATTATCTTCCTTTTTTGCATATATAATAGTTAGAATAATGAGGATAATTTGATATGAAGTTAATATAGGAAGAATAAAAGTCTAGAGGGCTGTTTAGGGCAAAATAATAATTAGAATTCCCAAATCTTATAGATTTTTTTCCAAATTCATTTTTGCATAAATTTTTTTTAAAAAAATCAAGAGTAAATATAGGATTGGAATAAAATGACAAAAGTAGAGCAACAGGGATGCTAAGCACTTCCAACTTTTCCCCCATGTAAATGTTAGTTTTATTAAGAGTAAAATATAAGAGAAAATCATTCAAAACGTCTCTCACATTTCGTCGAATGAATTTTTTCGTCCTTAATTTTTAAAATATTAACTTTACATCCCTTATAAATTGAAATTAGTAAAATTTGGTCATCACTGAAATGTTTCATCATTCGCTCTTTTCTAACCACTTTTTAGCTAGAAACAGGTTTTCTTTGCAAATTCAAGTTAGCAAAAATAATAGTAGTTATTGAATATGTTTGCACAGAAACAGTATTACTAAACAAAGTATGTCAGGGTTTTTTTTTTTTTCCTTTTGTCATTTCTATTACATGCTAGTCATAGTCACATGTTAATCACTTACACGTATAGCTGCATGGGCACGTATAGTTAGTCATCTTTTATATATAGAAAAAAAGTGAAATATGAGAAAAGGAAAGGATTGAAACCTAACGAAAGAGAGCAACATCAAAATAGAGTTTTGCATGTAGCGACATATTTATTGCTTTGATTTTTTTATTCTGGTTGAAAATTTAGTCTCAAAATTTCTTCTGGCAATAAAATTCTCAACTTGAAACCAATCTACTTGGGCCTAGTTTAGGATTGTAATGGCTTATAAAAAGTATTTCTGATACAAGTGCTTTTAAGTTATCAAAGTTGAGGTTGCTGAAGATGGAGCCTCAGGTCCCTGGTTCGAACCTTATTGCCAGCAAATTGCTGAGGGTGGTGAAATAGTCTGCGGGGTCCACTTCCTGCGGGACACACCAAAAAAAAAAAAAAAGTTGAGTTTCTTTTAAGTTATGAAAAATTAGTTATCAAACCCAAGTTGGACTCCATAAATTATAAAAATTAGTTACCAAATACTCTAAAATTACCTTTAATGCTTAAAACCGCTTGCCTTAATCAACTTTCATGCTCAATGCATTAATTCCTAAATTTGTGAATTTTTTAAAATTTGTTAGCAGGGGAATATTGAGATTCAAGAAGTGATGAGGAGAAGGGAACTAGAACTTAGAGCTAAGGATGGCAATGGGGCGGGTGTCGCGGGCACAGGGCAGTGGCGAGGGCGGGGGCGGGTCCTCCCACTTAGAAACAGGGCGGGCATCCGCTTTAAAAAATAAATAGATAAAATATATATGTATATAATTATATATAATATATAATTTAATTAGTTACAAACTTATGATAATGATATTATTAGTTATATATATTATATAATGTATATTAGTATATGTAATATAATTGATATTATCAATTATACTAATAATCATATATGTGTACTAATACAAATTATTAATTGGTTATACTAAATTTTCTAATACATTTATACTAAATCCCTAATTATACTTAATACAATAACATTTTTTTCTAAAAAAAAAAAAGCACAAGTACAATAATGAATTAGTGATTGTATTTGTGCAAAAAGTGAAAACTTGACTACTTTAGTTGTATTTATTTTATCATGTTGAATTGTATTCAAATAAATTTTGTTTAATTATTTTTATAAGTTTCAATTGTGAAATTACAATGAATAATAATTTGGTGATGTGTTAATATTTTAGTACTTAATTATTTGCTAAAACTTAACTATAACAAATTTTTATTAACCTCACGAGTGCCACATGAAAGAAGCGGGGCAGGGGCAGGGGAAATTTGTAGGCAACCCCGCCCCGTTGCCATCGTTACTTAGAACTGCGGGGGGCTCTCGAGGCGCGGGTTGGGGGCGGGGGCGTGGGGGAATTTTTTCCCCCCGCTTAGAAAAGGGGCGGGGGACGGGGGAGTATACCACCGCCCCGCCACCCGTAAAAAAAAAATATATATATATATATATAATTATATATAATATGTAAGTTAATTAGTTATAAACTTATGATAATGATATTATTAGTTAGATGTATTATATAATGTATAGAAGTTTATGTAATATAATTGATATTATCAATTATATGAATAATTATACATGTCTACTAATAAAATTTATTAATTAGTTATACTAAATTTACTAATACATTTATATTAAATTTCTAATTACACTTAATAGAATAACAATTTTTTCTCAAAAAAAAAAAGTACAAACACAATAATGAATTAGTGATTGCATTTGTACTAAAAGTGAAAACTTGACTATTTTAGTTATATTTATTTCATCATATTGGATTGTATTCAAATAACTTCTGTTTGATTGTTTTTATGAGTTTAAATTGTAAAATTACAATGAATAATAATTTGGTGATGTGTTGATATTTTAGTACTTGATTATTTATTAAAATTTAATTATAATAAAATTATATAATAAAATTTTATTAACCCTGCGGGGGAAGCGGGGCAAGGCGGGGCGGGGCGGGGCGGGCGCGGGGGGAGCGGGAGGCGGGGGACGGGGGGAACTAATAGGCAACGGAGCGGGGGACGGGGGAGGGGTCCCCCGCCCCAACCCCGTCCCGTTGCCATCCCTACTTAGAACCTTTAAGTCCTAAGATTGTGAATTAATCATACGGTTTTTTCCCCCATTGTTTCTTTCGATTTCCCAAAACAAGAGTTCCAATTTGAAGTTAACACAAAATAGTAATTTCCTTCCAATTTTACTATATCAAAAGGTAATTTTTCCAATTCCCAACACACATATATCAAGTGCATATTTTGATTTTTGAATTCAAAATGTACCCATATAAATGTATCCACTATGTTCAATTAAACATAATAATCATCTGTCTTCATAAATTTTTTTGTCGTTCAAGTTGCTAAAATGCCCAATAGGACAACAATAGAGTACATGACACTAACTTTCAAAAAAACAAAAATGTAAATGAGAAGGGGCTAGAAAAAGTAAAGAAGAGTAGACAAAAAACATCGTACAAAGCATACAAACGTTATCCGGATAAAAATCGACCTTTTCTTTACTACTCACCACTCAATTTCACCCTGTCATCTCGTTCTCCAATTATTCACAACTCCTTCAATCCTCAGATCTTACCTTTACTTGAAACGCAATCAGGCAGAAGAAAATGTCGAAACCCACAAATCCCTTCAACCTCTTTCGTTTCCTCTTCATTTTTCTTGCATTGTGGAGATTCCCTGTATTGGCGAACCATGACGGACCATACAGTCGCAGTAGCAGCATAGTCTTCACCACTCTTGGAAGAGCAAGCTATTGTTTTGATATCTATTCGCTTCCACTCTGGGTCGCACCCGCTAGCTCCAACGAACTTCAGCTGACTGATGGAGTTTCCGTTAATTTCAACGGCTATTTTCCTTCGCCCTCATCAGTCTCCATGCTCTTCGGAGCACCTGATCGGACCCAGGGTGATGTCTCTCCTCCTCCTCTCCATCTCGTCTATGTTACGGAAAGAAATGGTTCTTCGCATGTATTTCTGGACTCGCTTTATTACGGTGGACGCGAGCACGCTGGATCGAGAGCAATCCTCGAGGAAGACCCGTCTGAGTCAACTCGGAGCGAGCTGACTCGTTTTCAGTTCCCTCTGGTGGGTTTGGAGCAGTCCGATGGCCGGGTTTCGATGAAGGACAAGCCGACTTTGGTGGGTGAGTATTTGATTTACGTGTCGACTCATGAGAACACGGGTGTGCCTCGGACGAGTTGGGCTGCTGTGTACTCGACCCACTTGAAGACCGGGTCGACTCGGAGATTGACGCCGTACGGGGTGGCGGATTTTAGTCCTGCAGTTTCGCCTTCCGGGGTTTGGACTGCGGTGGCGTCGTACGGGGAGAAGGGGTGGGATGGTGAAGTTGAGGACCTCGGTACGGATATTTATTTGTTCTCGACTCGGGACGGGGCAAGCCGAGTCAAGGTGGTTGAACACGGTGGATGGCCGAGTTGGGCTGATGATTCAACTTTCTACTTCCACCGGAGGTGCGAGGATGGTTGGTGGAGCGTTTTTAAGGCTAGTATTCTGAAGAACCAAAAGCTCGGTGTTGACTCGGTGGTGACTGAGCGAGTCACCCCACCGGGTTTCCACGTGTTCACGCCTGCAGCTTCGACGTCTAACAAGAGCTTTATTGCTGTAGCAACAAGAAGACCCGACTCGGAGTTTCGCCACATTGAGCTGTTCGACGTCGTTTCGAAACAATTCGTCGAATTGACCCAACCCATATCGCCCAACGTCCACCACTTGAACCCCTTCGTCTCTCCGGACTCAATCCGGGTCGGGTACCATAAATGTAGAGGGTCAAGCAATGGGCACATGAGAACCAACCTGATACTTGAGAACCTTAAGAACCCGTTCTCTGAAAAAATCCCCCTTTTCCGATTTGATGGATCTTTCCCTTCATTTTCGGCGGATGGATCACGGATCGCCTTTGTAGATTTTCCGGGTGTTTATGTGGTAAATAGTGATGGGTCGGGTTTACGGAAGGTTTTCGAGAGAAATGCTTTCGCAACCGCGTGGGATTGGAAAAGAAAAGGGGTGGTTTACACCAGCGCAGGGCAAGAATTTTCAAGTGAAAGTACCGATGTGGACATAGTCTCTATCAATGTTGATGATGAAAATCTTAGCTACAAACGATTGACTAGAGGAGGAAAAAATGATGCATTTCCATCCGCTTCGCCCGATGGAAAATGGGTTGCGTTCCGATCGGGTCGATCCGGGCACAAGAACTTGTATGTAATGGATGCCTTGGAAGGAGAAGCGGGTGGGCTTTATAGGTTGACGGAGGGTCCGTGGTCCGACACGATGTGTAACTGGTCTCCGGACGGTGAGTGGATACTCTTCGCATCTGACCGAGAAAATCCGGGGTCGGGCAGCTTTGAGCTGTTTATGGTGCATCCGAATGGAACGGGGCTCCACAAGTTGGTCCAGAGTGGCTCGGGCGGGCGGGCGAACCACCCGTGTTTCAGCCCGGATGGTAAGTACGTTGTGTTCACCTCGGACTATGCTGGAGTGTCAGCTGAGCCAATATCAAATCCTCATCACTATCAGCCATACGGTGAGATATTTGTGATCAAATCGGACGGTTCTGGGATACGCAGATTAACTCACAATTCATATGAAGATGGGACTCCTGCCTGGGGCCCCAAATACATGAAGGATGATGATGTTGAATGGCCTAATGGTGGAACGACGTGTTCTTTCGAGGACTGTCACTGGCTCAATATCAGTCCTGACAATAATGCTGCCACGAAATGTTCGAGCCTGTACTCTGCACCTGTTAAACCTCAGTGTTATACTAATTGAGTGGACAAAAACTGCTTGTCTTATGATCATGCACTTACCACTTGTTCTAGAAAATCTAGTCAGTTTATGATGAGTACAATGATGTAAATGTTGCGATGAACTGCAATCACGCACTCCATGTAAATGATGAGTACAATAACGAACTTTATGTGAATGTTGTGAACTGCCCCTAACAAACAAAATTTTGGCTTTATGAGTTGTGGACGTTTGTATGGGTTAGGGAAGTTTGTACTAAAAAGATGCCAAATATGGTGCCATCTATATATTTCTTATCTAACCAACCAAATCTGATAAGTAGTTGGCTATCAAAGAACTTTAAAATTCTTGGTTTGTATTCTTAAAAATTTATTTAGCTTTTTTTGTGGAATGAAAAAAAAATTGTTGAAAAATTGTGTTGTGGAACGTAAAATTTTAAAATTTCCATTCAAGCTTTCTTGGAAAAGTTTGCCAATGGTGTGGAGTCATATGATATTAAAGAAAACAAAAAAAAAAAAAAATTTGTGTTGTGGAATGATAAAAATTTAAAATCCCCAAAACTTCTACGCTAGTTTTCCATCATCTTTCTTTTTTTCTTTAAATCATAAATAGATTAGTCTTTGATAATTTTTGCTTATTTTGCAACTTTCATAAGATTCTCACGCGTAAATAAGATGCAACTTAGTGTTTTTATGCCATAATAGTACCTTACTTTATATTTTGTTTGGATTCTAAATTATTTGGAAAAAAAATTAGTATTCTCTAAACACATTTTTCACTGCACTTTTACTTTTTTTTTATCCCATATAAATCAATTAAAACTGTGCTATAGTAAAAAAAATTATCAAATAATCTTCATTCCAAATGCACTAATTAATTAATTTTACGTAACTAAGGTTTTCTTAGGTGTTGAGATAAACACATTAAATTGTTTAGATTTTTTTTTTTTTTTTGCAGATTTTCTAAAATTTTTTATTATTTTAAGGTCGAATACATGGTGTAATTGTATTCAAATGGATCTAAATATTATTGAAAATTAATCATTTATTAGGTTACAATTGTCATATGCGTTAAAAAATTAGTTAGGTGTATTTTGGTCAGGGAAGAGGGAGGGATAAAGTGTGATTAACTTGAAAAACTCAAATTTTCCATTTTCTTATTGACAAAAAAGGATAACGCTCTATTTTTTAGTTAGTAAACAAACTTACTAAATTGCAATCTAACTTATATACAAAGCAACAGTTTCTTTAAGGGAAAATTTTCAATCACCATATATGAAACTAAAATTCAATAATTGTCATGCTAAATATGCCCATTCAATTTAGTTTTAAGTTTACACAGGGGCCTTTTCTTTTCCACAATCTTCAACATAATAACTTCTCTAAAAAAAAAAAAGATAGATCGAGAACAAATATACTTATTTTGATAAATGATTTTTCTAATAGGTTTCTAGTACCTTCATTAGTGCGCCTAATATACAGTAAATTTACTGATACATGCGCTCATATTTATTGCACTCTTGACGTTTAAATATTTTTCTAAATTAATAAATTCTTACCAAGAAATTAATGTTTGAAACTCACTGAATACATATTAGTCAAATCCTTTGATTAAAAAGCACATATACTAAGGTGTGCTGAAAAATTAGCACGCTTCCAGTTGACATGGCAGCGGTGAACCTGTATCCTCACTATTTAGTTTTTTTTTTTTTATTAAGTGTGAGATTTTGAATCTTTCCACATACAATCCCTTCTATTGTATCACCTAACACAATCCTCTATCACTATTTAGTTTGGTTTGTCGAGTCGTTTAGTTACTTTGTTTGTGTGTAGAAATAAGATAAATATTAGAGAAAATGGTCAAATAAGTTATATCTGTTTATAAGCAAAATTAACCCAAAAAAAAAAACGTTTATAAACCTAACTTAAGATTTCTGACTATTTCACTGGCTTCCCTCTAGATTTCGAAAATTACACTAATCTATCTTGAGATTAATTATCTCATAACATTAGGCCCAATCGATAATTAAAAAGTAATATTAGGAGAGAAAAAATAACATGATTCTATCATTGCCCCTCATATATTACATTATTTAATTAATTTAACACCAACCCACATGTTAAAGAAAAATGCTAAAATTTTTTGTTTATCATTAGAGATCAAATCACCTATAGCATCAAAAAATAGTATACTATTTTATAGCTTTCACTTAATACAAGTTTCAAATTACTCTTTTCAGTTACGTACCCATTGTTAAACATGATCAACAATAAATAATCAAAAAATTGTAACTAAAATATTACATAGAATAAATTTTAATATTATAAATATTCTTGTCAATATATTAAGGTTAGTTGTTGAGATTTTTATGGTATTAAAATTTGCTCTTTCTAATATCTGTTTTTTTATTATTTGTTGTTGATAATGTTTGACAATAGGTTTGTAATTGAAAAGAGTAATTTGGATATTATATTAAGTGAAAAATGTAGAATGATATACTATTTTTAATGTCATATGTGATTTAATTCCTAATGTTAAACAGTAAATTCTAATGTTTTATTTAACATTTTTGCTAGTATTAAATTAATTAAAAATTTAGTAGATGATGGGTAATGGTAGAATCATATTATTATCTCTCTCCTAATATCACTTTTTGATCATTGATTAGATCTAGATTTTATAAGATAATAAATCTCAAGGGAGATTAGTGTAATTTTTAAAACTTGAAGGGAGGCCAGTGAAATTGTCAGAAACCTCAGGGGAGATTTCTGAAACTATCCCTATTTTTTAAGATAAAATTTTGGTTACTAGGGCTATGTTTGTCTATCTGAGATTGGGAAAGAAGAAAAGGAATTAATATTTTCCTTGGTTCATGATGTGGCTTTTACTTGTCTCAGCAGTTGCTTGATATTCGTTTTTGTTTCAACTTTTTTTATCATTCTTTCTGATGGTAGATGGCTACTAAACCACATACAAAAAAGGTATTTTTTTTCCTGGCAGAAAAGAATATGAATATAATTGCTGGTGTACGATTTGTTTGATCAAATGTATATAAGGTTCCCATTGGCATGCGCGTATGCATATGACATTGCCAATATTTTGAAAGAAAACGAACAAATTTTTTGCCCATGCAATCAAATCTCAGGATTTCCACGCCTAACCTTCCATGATATAATGGTGGGTTTTCATATACAAAAGAATTTTGTTTTTTCATTTTACCGTTGACAACCTCAATTACTTCAGTTGCTGCTAATCTAGGACACAAATGGCTTCATCATTGTTGTTTTCCTTCATAAAATTTTAGATCTCCTTTGCTATATTTACCCAAAGTATGAGAAAAACTTGATACTGGTGTTTGCTGGTTTGATGATTTGACAATATAGGTGGATTTGTTTGAATATGCCAACATAGATGATCACCTTGATTTGGTAAGCTTGAAATTCACACTATGATACTATCACATTGTGTTCACCTCCTAGTTCTCCTCCTCAATGTGAAACTGAACAAGTTGTTTCATAGGATGACAATAAAAATTGGAAAGGAAACGAGAATATGTTGGAGCATACACAAAGGAAGGAGGATACTTAGACCTTATTCTATGTTGGGGGAAACACCTTATTAATAATTTTCATTTTTTAAAACAAAATTGTGATCATTGATGATAGAATTGTGTCGTGCTTCATTTTTAAATGAAAAATAAATAATTAATAGTTTAGAAAAAATGAATTTTGGTCAATTTTTGAGCGAAAATGGGAGTTTTATTTTTAGAAAATAAATAAAGAAAATGGGCCTAAATGGGACTTAAAAGTGCGACAATTTTGATCCAAAAATAATAGTTTAAAAAGGGATTTTAATAAAAATTAGGGGTCGCCACTTGGTATTGAGTTAAAGTGTACCAAGTCACCTAAAATGAATTTTGAATAAAAAAAAGTAGAAAAACCCTTTTTAAACGACTCCAAGTCTTCCGAAATCAGAGAAAAATGTATACAAATATACATGATCTAAAGGAATGCATCATAACGGGTGCGGGGAGCTAAGATTCGTAACTTCAATTTTTCCTTTTATAGAGGGAATACGAGCGTGTTAAGGTTAGAAAGCCAAACTCGTCCATATCCCATATTCGAAAGGTATTTCTTCTATCTAATCATGCAAATGTACTAACCTAGTTCTAATTTTTAAATGGAATGCATGGCTAATGTCATATCTCACACGTAGGGGTAAGGGATATACATATAGGGGGAATATGGGATAAGGGATATACATGTAGGGGGAATAAGGGATAAGGGATGTGCATACAAGGGAAATATCATGCAAAATGATAAAAACCTTAAAAGATAGAAAATATGCATGAAAATGTAATGATTTATCACACAAACATGATCTAGCGCGTGGATGGTCCCTAAGGGTCTAATGTTGGGGTAGCCCATGTCTATATTTTCTCACTAGCATTGGACTAATGAGAGATCAGAAAAAGGGACCACGACTAGCGTTGGACTAGTGTGGAATAGGGAAAAAGGACCACAACTAACGTTGGACTAGTGTGGTGACGTCACACATTGATTATAACTAAATTAAAACTTAATAAAGCAAGGAAACACATAAGATCACATAAATGCATAACAAATAATCATGATATCTAAATGCAAGATCCTAAGAAAGCGGATAACACGTAACACATAAGCATGTAAAAACACACTAGACAAATAAAGCAAATAAAACCCTAACTATTACACTTGGAACCCTAACTACAATCTAAGGGGGGAGGAATAAAATAATAAAATAGATACCTAACTATTACACATTCTATCTAAATACATATCTCGAGCTCCCTAACTATTACACTTTGGCATTTAAATGCCCTTCAAATAATCAAAATTGAACGAAATTAAAACAAATAAAACGAATAAATAAATAAATGAAATGAAAACATTTAAAAGGCATGCAATCACGCACATAAGATCACATAAGAGCACATAAGATCAAATAAAATCAAAATAAGGGATAGAGTGTACCTCCCTTTAATTGGTGACCTAATGAAGTGAAATTACTTATTTACCCTCCAAAACAAAGAAAAGATCAAGGCATCACTTTAATTAAAAATAATCACAAGAAATGAAAATAAACATGAGAATAAATCAATCAAAGCATTCAAAATAAAAGTAAACAACCCCTAGTCAACAAATTAAA